TCTCTTTCTCTCGCTCCCTTTTTTCTTTTTCTTCCTCTGTGGACCTCTCTTTTTTTATTTACCTGTATACGCGCGCTACACCCACACACCTACCTATTGCTGCCAATCCCTTGGCTTCTTCGGTGTTCGTCTTCATTCCACTTTCCATCGAATCATCTTGTGGATTTCGCTTTGTTTGCCAGGGCTCCCTTTACGTTCTTTGCCTCTCGCAGCCAGCGGTAGTAGCATCAGCTCTCGATCCTTCCCTCTGCCCCTCGCGCGCCCACAACTTGCCTCGTTCTCGCGCGCCACCCCTAAAACTTTTTCATTTATTCTCCCACCCTCCTTCTATTCTCTCTTTCTCTCTCTCTCTCTCTCTCTCTCTCTCTCTCTCTCTCTCTCTCTCTCTCTCTCTCTCTCTCTCTTAGCCAACTCACTTTCTTCCACGCCATCTCATTTGCTTTTCCATTTTCTCCATCCTTTTTTTTACTCTGGCTGCTGCTGCTTCTGCTGTCGCTGCTTACCTCGTTTCTTCCTTGCTCTTCTCTGCGCTTTATTTTTTCGCGTTCGCTTCCATCGATGCGTAAGCCAGATATACGGACATAGAAAGCAGAAAGCACCTTTCGCGTCTGTCTGTCGTCTGCCTGCCTATAATATTCTCCTATACCGACTCTCCAAATATTTCCAACTTGATCCGCGACCGGTCGCCTCTGCGTTGTCCTCTTAGGTGTACTTTAACGGCTTTCACTTTCTACAGCTGAGCTTTCTCTCCCTCTCTCTCTCTCTCTCTCTTTCTCTCGACAATCGAAGTCCGTAAAGTAAAGAACTTATCAAATTTCAGTCCGTCAGCTGACTCACTGAATTGGATATGCAGTGAACACAGATAAGATAAGATTACATTAGATTGGGTTGGAACCACGACTGTATTGCAAATCCTTGGCGTAATTCTACTTAGCGATTGTTTTGTATTGTTCAAGCGCGCTGCAAATATATCGCTGCAGCGCACTTAAACTCTCCACTACGCACTTCGCTTAATTAACGAGGTCGCGCGTGTTTGCGAAAAATCCCGCATTTCTGATAAAAATCCGAATCTCGTGGGCAGAAATAAAAAATATTGGGCGTTATAAATTGAGAGGCTGTCTCTGCTAAAATACAATTTGGCCGCTGACGTACGCAGGCGCGAGCATAAAAATTCTCCGGCCGCCAAGCGAGCGAACAGAATTTTCGTTTCCAACCTCTCGAGATTCATTGTGTACTGGCCCCTCCTCGCTGTTATTATATATATATATATATATATATATATATATATATATATATATATATATATATATATGTATGTGTACATTGAATTTGGTGCAATTTTGCAACCTAGAAGCAGATCGTCCTCGTTGCATTGCGCATGCTTAATATTTAGTGATGCTGTGCCTTCTCGTCACACTGCGTCACAAGAAAATAGTCCCGGCGTAATCGATAAGTGCTATTTGTAATAATTGACCGAGTATAATGGATAGCCTCAAGTGTTTTATATTTACGTAAAAGACCGATGTAAATAGTGTGGATTTATTTGGCGTCACTGTAAGCTCTAAAGGCTCTTTGCTCGTCATGCGACTCAGAGAGCGATTCTAGCTAGGTCGAGTTATATAGGTGCCTGATTCGTTCCTCGAGAGTCGATTACAAAAGAGTCGAAATAATGAGAGCGCGCGCGCCGCCTAGCTTAGCGAAGGCGCGCGGCGGTATCTCCGAGAGTTTTGCGAGTGTGCTCTGCCTGTCGTGAACCTGGCCATGATAGTCGAGCACCACGTGCGGCGGCTCAGGTCGAAAAGGGGCGGGGGTATCGATGCGATTTCTTCGAGTTGGAGTTGTAGCATATGCCGTGGCGTCGCGCGCTCGGAGCGGCGTTTTCAGAGCTTGACCCTATTTCGATTTCTGTTGGCGACGGGTCGCCAGGCAAAAAGGCCAAAGCCAAGCTAGGAGGAGGAGGAGAAGGAGGAGCTCGCTACTCACAGGCTCGGCTCGCTCGCTCGCTCGAACCTCGATAATGAGGAAACTACACTTGCCTTCGATCGCATATCAAACGGCTTCTCTCTCTCTCTCTCTCTCTCTCTCTCTCTCTCTCTCTCTCTCTCTCTCTCTCTCTCTCTCTCTCTCGCGCGCGCGCGCGCCGATTGCCGCAATGGCTGCTGCTTTGTTCTGCGGAGAGGACCAGAGAGAAAAAGTGTGGTTGGGGAATCGCGTGCAGATCGCGCGGAATTGATTTCGTTTGTTTAGCTCGATTGTTTTTTTACACCGTTCTCGCTTGGCGCTCTCTTTCCCTTGCTCCCGCGTTGTGACAGCTAGTGAAGTACGCTAATGGCATTATCAACGCCGTGCCGTTCGCACGCGCGGTTGGATGTAACATTATTATGTATATGCTGACTTGTACGTCTGTATGCTGATTAAACACGTTAGCGAAGTTGCAGACAGCGCCAAGAGAAATTTAATCAATTCTTGACTGCATGTACGAATACAGGCAGTGGCGTGACGTCAGTCGAGGGAGTACGAGGCTCGGCCTAAATTTATTCTGCCAAACCGTGATTGCCGTAGCGAATTAATAACCGCGACAGATTTGCGCGTGGCAAAAACGACAACTGGCAATCTGCGCGCCACTGAAAGACCTGAATAGGGCTAGGTGAGTGCGTGGCGAATTTGAATGGGGTTGGGAGAGGGGGGAGGTAGTAAACGGGTCGTGGCTCCGCACAATGCTCGCTGCTGAACCCCTTGAGCTTGCCTTCTTGCGCGCATGTGACGCATAAGCAGTGGGTGCCGCTGGCGGTCTGCGCCTCCGACTCGCAGAGGAGCTGTTGCTGCGCGCTACTCGCGAAGCTTCAAATCCTCACGCCTGTGCGGCAGTGCGCGCTTCACGCAGGCGCGTAGACTTTATTTCTGTTTACACGCGTATATGCGGCGAGCGCCTCTGACCTCAGCGCGCGCCACTCCGTGTATACGTTATATACCGATGACGAGTCGCCGCACTCCGCGCACGATAAGTGGATAAAGAGAGAGGCCACTTTTTTTTTTCGCCGACTGCTACATTATACATGCGCGCGCGCGCCTGCGCGAGTCGTTGCGCCGTATTTCTGTCCAAGCTGAGAGCTGCATGCTTCGAATGCGCCTCACTTTTCCTCGTCGCGGATCTTCGTCGAGTAGGCGACGACGCGTGCGGGTGCGTGCATCGGCGCTCACGAGGAAGTGCCTATTTACTCGGCGACGATAAGAAACGTTCGTAGCGCCGCGGCTGTTGTGCGCGACCCGTTGACGAGAAATGCCGCAGCTGTAAAAGCAATCTGGCCGCGAAGAGCGCCAGACAACGCGACGGTAATATCGGATTGTTGCAGGTCGTTCGCTCTATTTTTATAGCGGCTCGAACTCTCCCTCTCTCGCGCTCGCTCTCTCTCTCTCTCTCTCTCTCCCGACAGCTGCCATTCTCGCGCGGCTCGCTGCGGCGAGCCGCGATATTTTGGCAATATTGGCGTTTACAAACAAACACCGTGCTAGTGCAAATAGAGCCGTTGTCCGCGGCGCGTTGGCAGCAGGCCGAAAATCCGCGCATCTCGAGGGCGAAAAATCATTGCCGATTGCCGTCGTCGTCGTCGTCGTTAGCTGCCACTTGTCAATCAGGCATGCCACGCACACGCGCGCACAGTACACGCGGCTGTTAGCGAGCCCTCGCTGGCTAGAAATGCCAGTAGCGCACACACGTAACGTACGAGAGAGAAGCAGCAGCAATAGGCTGCTACCTCGATCGATAACTGAATACTCGATATCTATTAATACTATTTCGCAAGTAACGTCGCCCGCTATGTACGTGTATATATACAAAGAGCGAGGTGCTATGTATATCCGCGCACAAGCCCTTCTTCGATTCGTTCCATCTCCCTCTCTCTCTCTCTCTCGCTCTCTCTCTCTCTCTCTCTCTCTCTCTCTCTCTCTCTCTCTCTCTCTCTATGTCTCTTTCCAACGTGCGTACACACACGCAATCTGCATCCGATTTCTCTCTCTCTCTCTCTCTCTCTCTCTCTCTCTGCCCGCCGAGCGACCCGGAGTATACTCCGACTATTGCGGCCTATTCGATGGGGTGGGGCAGACGGACGGCAGCGCGAGCAGGAGGCAACTACCTAGCAGCTAGCAGTACCCCGGCTGCTACTGCCGCCGCGTTTCCCTTATTTATGTTTACAGCAGGCGTAATCAATACTGGCATTATGCCATTCCGATTAGGCTAACACCGTTAACAGCCCGGGTAATGACAAATCACCCACGCTCTTTTCTCTCTCTCTCTCTCTCTCTCTCTCTCTCTTCAGGCACTAACACGCGCGCGTTCTGCTTTCACTCCGACGCTCATCTGCTCTCGCGCGCGCATTACACGCGCTGTAAATCTTATCGCTCGGATTTCCTACACACCTTTTGTATTCCGTACTTGCTGCTGTCGATCTTCTTCCGCTGTCATTTGTATGTTTCAATCGACCATCTCACGCTCCCCTGATACGAGTATGAAGTTCCGATCGTTTGAGCTTAACGAATTGGTGATGCTACGGCAGTTAAGGTCCGTTTCCAGTTACAATCTAATAACCAATGAATATTATCATAATATTACTAATATATATCTAAGATTCATATAATTACATGTATCCTTCGAAAATGAAACACATAAACACTTTTTCAGATACATGAAATATTAAACGTACATATTCACCTATGGCTTCAAAACACTCAAAAAATACCTGAATTTTATATTTTTTTATTGTGAAGCTGAAGTACTCTAGAGTCTACTAAAAAAATCTCCCTGTTTGGAAATGTACAAGTTCATTGCGTGCGACTTGAAATCAGTGCTCGGAAATAATAAGAACTTTTGGTAAATAAAAAAGGGCAAAATGTGAACCCGGCTGGACTATTTGCTCTTAACCATTAATCCATACCTGAAATGTTAGCATTATTTTTGCTGGATCATAATGAATAGAGTCTTTTATTGGCTTATTAATTTAATGTATATTCTTATTCAAATTTAATAATACATTAATATTTGTTTACATTCATTGAAATTATAATCTAGATACAATAAACAAGTCAATATTTTATTAATACATTTATATTTATTTAGTACTTTATTATTGTATAAACGGCAATAGTACACTTGACTTGTTCATGCTTTTTAATAAGTCAGTTTGACTTGTCAAACTGACGATGTCTGAACCTCGTTTTTCAGGTATCGTACGGTCTGACGCTCAGCAGCAAGTTTCTACAAAAAAAATAAAATTTATAATTATACTGTCAAATTTCATTTATATATATAAATGGGTAAATTATTTATTTATATATTTTACTTACGTATTTCAACATCTTTATTGATCCATCATTTTTCCTACAAATAGATTGAGTGATTTTTAAAAATATTTGATTTTATGTTATGGTTCTTACACGCACTGATACTTTAGCCTCAGTTAAAAAAAAATAAAACCGAAATATTTTTTGAGTGTTTTCAAGTCGCACGCAATCAACTTGTAAATTACGCGGCGAGCGCCATGTATATGGGCTCGTGAGGGTAGTTCCTATTATTTCCGAGCAGGGAGACTTTTTTTGTAAGCTCTGCGGTATTTCAGTATTATAATAAACAAATAAAAACGAATATTTTTTGGGCGTTTTCAAGTTCCACGTAATAAACATGTACATTTCCAAGCAAGGAGACTTTTTCAGTAGTCTCCGGGGTACTTCAGATTCATAATAGAAAAATAAAATTTAAGTATTTTTTAGGTATTTTAAAGCCACGGGCTAATATATACGTGTAATGTTTCACGTATCTGAAAACGTGTTTATGTGATTTTATGCAGTTTTAGTTGTTAAAATGATTCATTGTCGTAGGATATATGTAATTATATGAATCTTAAATAGATATTAGTAATATTATGAGGATATCCATGGGTTATTAGATTGTAAGTGGAAACGAACCTTAACTGCCACAGCGCCACTAATTCGTTAAGCTTGAACGATCGGAGCTTCATACTCATCCCGATGTTGTTATAATTATAGAGACTCATTTCCAAATTGACCTTCGCCACTATTTGTCAACCATCAACTCTCCAAATATAACTTCATTCTCGCCGAATGTTCCCACCGAATTTCCGCTGCATATTTTTTCTATCCGTATAAATATTTCATTCTTGCATAGTTCCTTGCTCTATTATCAGTAAACTGCTGCTGTTGCTGCTGAAACTTGTGGCAGGTGCAGCGGTGAAGTAAAAAAGAGTGTGAATGTTAGGAAGCGTTTTGAAAGTAGTTGCATGAACTAGCAGTGGAAAAACTGCTTGGAAATTGATGCTTTAGCTAAAATATTGCGCTTACGTAAATACTCACTCGCGCGGTATTAGCGTACTTTTTGGTCGTTTATGCAAGCCAGGTTATTCGTTAATTTTCATTGAAAAACAAAAGGAAGGAAAAACAATAGCGATAAATAATCGGACAATCGTCGTCACGTCTGATCTTTTTAATTAAGAGAATCGCTAATTTTCCCTTGATTTTCTTTTTGTTGCAGGTAAGTCAATCATCGAAGGAGAATTGCTGCTTCGATTAGGCAATCTATAGAGAACAAAAAAGCTACTGAGTGCTGTTCATCGACTGTTCATTTCGTAACGATCGGGGAGTACATAACGTACGTGAAAAGCATAAGCGGCTAATTTACATAATAGTGTAGAATACAACGCGAAGAAGTTTATCCAAGTGAAGATAGCCAAGGGACGGGACGCCGTTCTTTGGCGCAGGTTATAATTTCGAATCGGTTTCACGTACTTCCGTCTGTGTTTCCTTGAAAACACAATAATCACGCTTGTATGTTTCTTTTTGTCGTCCGTGTGCCTGTTTCCGCGTGTTGCTTGCTGGCAGGTGGCTGCTGCTGTGAGACGCGTACGTGCTCTGGCCCGATGAACCTCTTTCCTATAGGTTGCAGGGAGGCGAGGAGATTCTCGCGCGTGCTGGTTTTGTCTCTCGAAAATTGATGCGGTTTCGACACAGAGAGAAAGGGGAGGGGGAGCAGATAGAGCGCATGCGTTTTTCCAACAATGCCGGTTGCGCAAATATCAGTCGGCCAAGGAACTGCTAAGCGACTGGCGTCGGCGTCGGCAGTCTATAGTTAGGATTTTGCAATGAGCAGCTCGTTCCACTTGCATCCACCTTACTTATCCTTACCCTGCCTCCTCCCACTACAGCGAGGCAGGCCAGAGCCAGCTACACAGCTCCGTGCACGTGTACGCGAGCCTGGCGCACTTTCACGTCCGACAAAAAACAGCTGCTGCTGTGTTTGCGCGCGCGCGCGCGCCACCTCGTCTACTGCTCGGCTCTCGCGCTCTCGCTCCCATCTGCTCTCTGGCAGCACCGGCTGAAAACTGCTCCTTCCGCGCTAGCAGCTTATCGTTGCCGCCGCCGCCGCCGTCGCCGCCACCGCCGCCACCGCGTGCCAAGGAGACCGGGTACGGGGTACGAGCGAGGAGCCAGCCGCGCTGAAATCCAGCAGTTAATCGCCGGCTAAGTCGAGGTCTTAGCGCGCCTCCGGCGACGAGCGCGTCGAATACCAGCCGGCCGGTCGGTCGGTCGCGCTGCGAGCTTCCGATTGACCGCGCCATCCACCGGTCGGTCGATTAAAGCCACGGCTGACGATCGGCCAGCCTCATTGCCAAGTGCATTCCGTCGTCGCGCCGAGTGTTTATTCAACGAGGACGGAGCGCAGCGCTACCCCGGCGAAGGTTAGTCGCGAGAGCAAATAAGGGCTACGCGTGGGCGCGCGCCGCAGCGCCACGGAGATTATTGCTTCGTCTGCTTGCTCTCGCGCTCGCCTGCCGCTATTTATACACCGTCGATCGGAGGCAAGAGCGATTGCGAGCACGCTCCGATGTCTTGCCCACTACCAAGTCGAGAATGAGTCCTACTTTTTTTTCGAATATACGCATGTATATGCGCGATTCCACCGCTCCTCTATAAGGATTCTTATTCACGTCGTCCAAGTTGCAAAGGAGATCTCGGCGTTTCCTTGACATCGATATTTCAACCCAGAACACTGCGAGCAGACGCCACCGTGGCCTGGCCTTTATAACGAGAGCTCGCAGACGATGCACCGCCGTGTAAGCTGACTCACTTCAACCGCGCGCTCCTCGCACTTTTTTCGACGCTCAAAGAAACTTTCGGCTGATTGAAATCGGTTGCGTGGCAACGGTGACGCGTGTCTTCTTCGAGAGTTCTCCGAGCAATTTTCCAGAACGACCGCAGCCGGCAGCAAGCAGACGCGGACGGGATTGCAACAACTGCGAGTATGAAAGTGGAGTGCGGATAGGCTCGCGGATCCGTTACGTGGATTGCGGTGTAGCGTGTAGGCACACGCAACGCGGAGGCACGTGTGCAGAGAGAAAGAGAGCCGAGCGTGTAAACGTAGATGCGTTTACAACAATGGCCGTGCGCGCCGGTGTTTTGCGCCTTGCGACAGCCGAGGTTTCGCACGCGCTCGCCTAGCATAGAGGACGACCACGCAGGGAGGCAGGTTCGCCGCACGAAGCCTCGTCGTACGAATCTAGGTCAGACCCTTCTCTCTCTCTCTCTCTCTCTCTCTCTCTCTCTTTCACTCTCTCCCACTGTATACGGTAGTGCAGTGCTCTGCATCGTGACTACTCGTCGCCAGTTTCCCCCTAACGCCTTGGTCACGCAGTCGTTTGGTTTGCCGATCGATTTTAATATTTTGTTTTTCTGCCTCGCGGACTCTAGCTTATTTAGCTGATTATTCATTGGACACACCGGCGAGAAAGATAGCCTCGAAGCTCGCTCTTTCGTAATATCGTACGTCCTGATGGGAAGTTGGGCCGAGGGGACGGTTATGCCAGAGCGAGAGTTCTGGATTTCCTCTTTTTTTTCGCTCTTCTCGCGCGCGCTTATCTACGCCTTTCACATCCTCAAAACTATAAGCGCGTGCGCGCGACTCGCTGCCCGCGCAGCTAGTTTTATACCCATAGAACTAGAGCACTCGAAAACTTGAAATTGGTCGCTCTGTGCAGCAGCAGCAACTTCTTCAAAATCTCGAAATGGCAGCTTAATATGCAGCAATTATTAGCGGGGCTCTCGCGCGTACCCCCGTTGAAGATTTTCTATATTGCAAAACTTGCGCGCTTTCATTGCGATCCAAAAGTTCAACTTTAAGAATAGTCAACGACTTTGAGTAGTTGATTTTGCTGTGCGAAGGTACAAAATCGAATCATTCGTTTACAGTGTCGCGGCTATAAAAAAATATGGGTGGCCTACTTGAGGCAAGGGAATGACTTCACGTTTCGTATATATGCCTTGCACAAGTCTATACTATGCGTAATTTTTATGCCAATATAATTCATGTTACAATAGTGGTGATGTGTTGTATAGGTTGGGTCGCTCGCCGAACCTGAGGCTAAAACATTTACTCTGAATGAATTAATTACCCGCAAGGCCATTCGATGACAAACTGTTCCAAGAGTCAGATCGCCGATTGCGTGAAAAATGGACGCAAAGTTTTCCTCGAGATTAAAACTCGTGCGATAATTACGCAGAGCTTTCGCGTCAGCTCGTGCTATCTACACAAAACCTACGGTGCACTGCAGCTTTTAATCTTGGCGCCCACTCGCGACTATACAGCATCGTTGCTTAACCAGTATCTCCATAATGCTACGGAGTTAAAAAAAATCTAAGGGAAAAAATGGCCGATGCAATAGGACGACAACGACAATGCCCGGCCGAAGAGAGCACCGTCAGATGTGATCAGAGCAGGAAAAGAGAGAAACTTGTTTTCCTTCTTATCGTGCGAATTTACTCGCTGAGAAATCAGCAGCAGAGAGCTCGGCTAATGATAGACTCTGCGTTCGGGGAGCAAGATAGAGAAAATAAGGCCGCTGTGATCTTCTCTCTCTCTCTCTCTCTCTCTCTCTCTCTCTCTCTCTCTCTCTCTCTCTCTCGCCATCGTGACGTCACCTGTATCAGCCTGCCGTAGTAATTGCAGGTTACACGTGGGCGGCGGAGTGCACGCGCGCACTCGACGGAAAATTCAACGTGCACAGAGCGACGTCGTCGTCGTAGACGTGACGTCAACGCGGCACCTCCGCGCTATTCCTGGCGCACACGTAGCGGGAGAGTCGACGTTGCGCGATGTAGCGCGACGGAGAGCTTGAACTAACCAATTTTTCATATATCGTGAGCCTCCGCGGGCAACGTTACCACCCATTGATTCAATTATTATTCACTACTATTTTTTCTTCTCTCCACGGCCCACAGCTTTCGATAGGCCAGATTTCCTCTTGCAGCTTTCTGTTTTCCTGTGTGAGCCCCGCGCGGCTCTCTGCTGATATGTATTGATTCATTTATGAAGTGCGAGCACCAAAGCTGCTGACGTGTATTTTATCGAATTTTGCAACTTTGATCAATACTGGCTTGCTTTCCGTGGCAACGTCGCCACGAGCTTTTCCTTCGAAGTCATAAAAGAATAAAGGCAAGTATCGCAAGAACTGGTGGGGCAGTCACGCGTAAAAAAAATTAAAGAACATTTGGGTGCCAAAAAACGTAGGCTTATTGACCTCCTTTCGGTGTGAACCGAAATATTACGCATAGTTCACTCGATGTGTCGTTGACATCTCTTGAATTCCTGAGAGTGAAAAGCGTACAATTATTATGCAAATGAACATGAATGCACGTCTTGCGGAGGAAATAATTGTATAAATAATTGAATGATTTGTTAGTAGAAAAAAGAATTTACTGGATAATGTTGCATCGCGCGTGTGAGCCATGGTATGTAATGGAAGACTTGATTTCGTAAGGTTACGAGAACTGCCGAGTTAGGTCACGTTAAAAAGAAAGTTAATACTTGGTTTTGATCAATGATTTGTCATGCAAACACATTTTCTACCATTATAAGTTGAAGTTATTGAAAATTAAACGTGAATTTATTTCAATGACATAGCTAAAAAATTATAATATTTCGTGCAATAAAGAAAAGAATGTAGAAAGTGTATAGAAACGGTTTAGCAGTAGTGAGATGGATGATTTTAATGTACAGCGCGCGGTTGCACGTAGGACGAGTTTAAAATATTTCATTAAGATTGGTTTATTTTAAACGACAATCTCACGACTGCTAAACTGTCATTTGGATAAAGGAAAGCTATTATCTGTATTAATTGTTGCGGTAAAATCATTAATTAATGGATCTCTTCCGGTTTTGCCTGTTTATTTAAAATCGATTGTTTATTTAAAATTGCTGCTGCATTAGCTCGGAAAGCTGTGTCCTTTGAATGTGGAAACATCAGTATTGTTTCCTTGTTGAGTATACTCGTGTTCATTTGAGAGTCGTTTCACAATTTTGACAGTTTTCGCACCTTTTGTGCATTTCAGAATACAATCGTCGGAAATTCGGATGGGATCTGTGCTGGGATGTTTGCCGATATGAGCATTTTGACCACATGAGATGAGGATTCGTCAGCGTACGTAAAAAATACAATGTTATTTAGTTAGCGGAAAAGCACCACCTCCACGTTGACTGGGGCACAAGCCACGTAGTTCACTAATCCACTAATATTGTCATGGATGTACTTGCATTGTATATTTGCATATATTCGCGCTAACAAACGTTTTAACGAACATAGCATAGCTTGCATTGAGAGATTGTCCAATGATTGGCCATGGTATCCGCAAATAAATCGCGTGCGTTGAGTAGTTTGATTATTACTACGCTGCCGCGGAAGGATATCAAATATGGACGGTGAAACGAAGATCCGGTTGGAAAAGCGCAGAATGTGATATCTCATAGCCTAAAAATAGCGCAGTTGTTACCGGGAATCGCCGCGTGAATATCGTTCTCAAAATAAAAGTTGCAAGGTCGTGTAAGTGTTTACTCTATGCGAGGAGAAGAAACTTTCCGAATATACCTTGAATGTTGCTCAGTTTTTGAAAGTAAACTTGCTCTCGCTACGCATCCTTCTCGGAGTGAGTAGTAAAGGTAACAACTGAACAACCAGCGGGAGAGACTGCGGCATTACTATCAACTTCTTCTTTTTTCTTACTTTTCAATTCAAACCTGGTAATATTCCGCGTAATGACTGTTCGTAACTCGCGTACCTCGATCGCACATAATTCGCTCTGGCGGAGAGACTAGCCAACGTCTAATTTAGAAAACCTCATCACGCACAGCGAACGTCTGATTGTAAATAAGCATGAGCCGTAAAGGCAGCATCACACGCTCGGCCGAAAGGCACACGTAGCTCCGCGCTCTGGACGGATGTCCACGCTACAGGCCAATCCGATCAATGGACGACGAAAAATGAAAAAAGAAGACGCGACCTCGGCAGGAAAAGAAAGAAAGAGCGATCGATGAGAGCAGCTGATCCGCGGCGAATTAGAAAGCGTAAAAAAGAAAATGGCGCAGCGCGCCCGAGGTGGGGGTCGCGTCGGTGAATCGCTGCAGCAGAAGACGACATTCCACGGTGCGTATGAATGGTCGCGGAGCCCGGTGGCATCGCAACGCGAGACAACGACGAACTTGAGAGGTGAGCTTAGTCGAAGAGGAGTAGGGGGTGGCGGAGGAGGAGGAGGCGGAGGTGGAGGTGGAACAAGTGGATAGGTGGACCGAGCACGCGAGCCTAGCGAAAGATCGTGAGAAAGCCGTGCGACGATGCACACGTACACACAGCCTCGTCTTTCTATCCCTCTCGGGCTCGCCGCGCCACGAGACTCCGCGTTGGGGGCCTTTCGCTCGCTTTCTACTGCCGCCGCCACTGCTGCGAGTCGAGCTGCATGTGTGTGCGCGCAACGGCAGCGCCGGCAGCGCCGGCAGTACCAGCTCTGACCTCGCTTCATCGTCCGTGGTCCCGTTAGCCACAAGTTCGTTTCATGCCCTGTCTCTCCCGCGAGTTAGCTTCCCTCTATGCCTCCAGGACGTAGACCTCGCGGAAGCTTACCCATTGCTTCGGCTCTTTGCCGGCCTTTTGCGCCCGCGCGTTTGGCAAACGCTTTGATCGCGGGTAACGGCTCGTCGTTTGCGTAATTGAGGCGCGCGGAGCAAAGCGCCGCTCGGCGGCAGATGATCAGCTGCGCCAAGGCGCGCCGTCGCAACACCCATAGAACAATCTCCCCCGTCGGTGTTCGCGCGGCCCGTTAAAAGCTCTCTCGCGCTGCAGCGCGCGCCTGGCAAAAAGCACACGGCCACTTACATATTTATGACAGCTGCTGTCCGCGGAGAGCTCGCCCTCGTATGCATACGGAAGCGCTCGCTCGGTGTTACATGGAGCACTGCTGGTGCCGCAGTCTCCTCCTCTCCTCCTCTCCTCCTCCGGTTTTTTTCTCTCGCGCGCAACTTTTTCTGCCGCGCGAGTACACATACGAAACGGAGAAAAGGAAAAAGACAAGCCAAAGACCCGCGCACCTGTCGACTTGGCCGGCCTCGTCGTGTGCAGTTTACGTGCGTTCGCACGTGCGTCTCGCGCTGACTTTTCCGCGCGACGAATCGCTGCTGTTGGCTTATCGCTTCTATCGCTTTTTACCTTTGCCCGAGCTCCCCGCGATAGCGCGCCTGCGGAGCGTACGCGACTCTGCTTTTTTCCCCTGCATCGGTGCGTTTGCTCTTGGTAAACTTGGCGTTGCGGATTTGAAAAAGCGTCGCTGGTAATTTGGTGTGTGCATTAGCTGGCGCGGCAACGGTCGTCTGAATTGATGATCTAGCTGGCATATCGTTTGTGTAATTTGTTCCTCTATATCGCTTTGTGCGCGCTAACAAGCAGGAACCGTTGAGCCATGAAGCTCTCGGTGTTGCACGACGCCAAGCGCGCAAATATTAATTGGCACTGTATAGCAAGCGCACTGCATAGTTCCCATATACGAGAATCATCGGAACAGGCGAACATCACTCAGACTGCATTATTCAGCATGGCGTTGGGTCTTAGTTTCCAGCAGTTTCGTGCCTAAGTAGTCCAAAGTCTTGGCATTATATCGAACTGCATGAATTGATAACCGCGCGTGTGGCTGGACTGACGCCGGGCGCGTATATGTAATCGTGCGCACATCAGACGCGAGATAGCCCCGCGTCCGTGTGGGAGCTTGCGTTAGCTGGTGTCGGCAACTTAACGCGCGCGCAAACGCGCACACGCGTGTATAGCATTGACGCAATCGGGGGAATTCCTGAAACGCGCGCGCGGGCACGTGGCAACGTGTGTTTACTCACCCATATCACTGTATATCTACAATCGCAACACACGTACACATACATGAAAGGGTGTACGTACACAGGCGGTGCTGGCGTATCGGTTCCTTTGCTTCCGCACAACGAACCGATACAAGGCGTAATGAGCATCTGCAGCGCTTTCTCCCGTAAGGCAGCCCGACTGTACAGCGAAATATGCAAATTGGTCGATAGAAACCCATCGTCGCCCTCGTATGTAGCTACACAGTAGCCACAGCCTGCCGAGTGTTGTAATAAACTCCCCGCAAATAGTTGACGACCGAGACTCATTCGAATTCTCCGCGCTGTCCGCCTGTGTTTTCAAACCCGGTTTCATTCGGACAAAGTCAGCTTGGACGTAAGTTCCATCGAGCGTTACAGAAATCCGATGGAATCGAAAGAGATATCGATCGATCGTCGCCGGGTGCGCTGAACCGAGCAGCGTTCCCGCAGCGTTTCATTAGACGAGCAGCGCGGAGAAGGAGATTTGCGCGTTGGTATAAAGTCGATGTGCGCACGTGAGCATGACTCTCCGTGCAAACTCGATTATTCCGTGGATCTGTATAAGATATAAAGCACTGGCTGCACGCGAAAACAGCTTTATATTTTATGTTCCTAGTGCATATGAGTGTGTTTACGTAAAAGCCTCGCATATAATCCGGAGCTTGCGGTCTTCGTGTGTCGCGCGTGTGCGTGCGATGCAGTGTCGCGCACGGTTTATAACTGTAACGTATCCCGCGCGGCTCTCGCAGTATCTGTTCGCTATGCTTACGCGAAACCTCGCGTTATTTTTTACCTCGTTGTCTCTCTCGTATCCATACAGGTCCGCGAGTCATCGCCACCTAGCCAATATTACTTTGTCGAGTGCGGAAGAAAGTCACCGAGTAATAGAAGAAAGAGACATTGTTGCCGACGAGTGTTGTTGAAAGCACTGCGGCGATGGCTTGCAGCGATAAGAGTCGCGCTCGCTTGCCAATCAATCAAGATATGGAAACGTCTTCGTCTTGCGACTGCAATTATAAGCAGCGCGAGCTCGAAGAGAAAAGCCGCGTTATTCGTCTGATGGGCAGCAGTTTATCAATAAACTCAAGTTGTATTTACGTCGAGATGACTAGAAATAGGTAAAACGGTGGTTTCTATTGTGCCGGCACGCAACCACATCAAATTAATTCATTCGCGTCGGACCTTTCTGCCTTATTCAACAATTAATTAAGAAAGCTGATCTATAATTTATCCGATAAGATTAATTAATGCAACTGGATAATTATTTGGAAAGAAGGTCGTGTGCTGGCCAGCAAAATATCCTACGATCGGTCGTTGCGCTGCGCGCCAATTAATAACGCGCAAAGAGCGGATCAGTGCTCCGCACAACAAAACGTGTCGGGCTGAATTGGCTAGCACGGATCGGAATTTGCCGAAGGCGGTGCGCGCGCCGACTCGCCGCGGTGTAAGAGCTTCGAGTGGACAGGCACACGTGGACAGCGCGAATGAATGGCCGCGACGCGAGAGAGCGCTTCCACGAGCGCCGTCGAGCCCTCGTTGGCGCCGCTTAACGCGGACTCGCTCGGTTGATCGAGGGCACTGCCGCGCCGGCTGTCCGGTCGACGACGCCACGTTCGCTGCAGCTCTTGCTCGAAGGCGTCCAATCGAGACTTCAAGGAGCGCGCGCCGCGATGTGCCGGCCGGATTTTCTTTCCCAAATGATAGCTGGCTCCTTTTGTCGGCGCGCGGATCGATAGGGCGGAAAACGTGCTTTCCCAAGCAAATCTTGGCCTTTTCCCGTGCGCCCCGTGCCGCGGCGCGCGCGTCCGACCACATCCAGGCCCGGGCCGTCGCTGCGGCAACGTGTCGACGCGCCAGCGAGCGGCAAAGCTGCACGAATGCCGGAGGACGAGAAGTGCGCGTGACGCGGCAGGTGGACGTTAATCGAGTGAGCGGCGCGCGCGGAAGAAGAACAAGGCGGACAGACAAGAAGGAATTGTGCTGCTGGTTGGCGCGCAAAGGGCGAGAGAGGGATGAAAGGCTCTGGAGCGAGTGGAGCGCCTGCAAATTCCAGCTGGAGTTTAATCGAGTAAGCGTTATTAGACGGCGGAGAGGGAGAAAGAGTGGCAAGTGAAATCAAAGGCGGAACGAGCAAACTCGTTGCAAGTGCTGCGAGCGGAGCTTGTGCGTGTGCGCGCTTCGGGCGTACGTTATGCACGTGGCCTGCTATAGCAGCACACTGCAGTAGGATCGATTCGGCGCCGCCGTGCTCCTCCCTCCGCCCGCCTC